ATATTTAGACATTTATTCAGTTATCCAATTGTTGAAAAAATAAAATTCCTTTAAAATGGGCTACTTTGGCTCTGGTGCAGCCTCTTCTCTCTGTCTGTAGTTGCCACTCTGTCCTGCCCACAGCACTATCTAATTGGTAGCACGTCACAAGGTTACACACTGGTAAAGGTGGAGCTTATTTTAAATATTTTGATTACTTTAAACTGCTGGGTAGGTTAATCTTACATTAATGTTCTTTTCACCCATTTATTCTAACACTAAGATTTGAAGCTTTACTGCAAATGTATTTTGGTTCCACATATCTGTAATCAGTTTCTCGGATTACTAATTACTAACCTACTTCCTTCAAACACGTACAGTACAGTAGTAATGGGTGCATTCTTACCGGCAGTGGGTCTACATACAGAATGAGGAAGTGTAAAGCCATGGACAGACAGATGGCCCCCACCAGCCAGGGGTTTGACCACGGAGGCATCTTCAGCAGGGACTGGTTCTCTGAAAGACTGGTGAGCACAGGGGAAGTTATGTACTGTCACTTCTGTCATCTTTTACACCAAACCATTCTGATCACTCCGGTGTAATAAATGACCATTACATGTTTGGTAAAGGCCAGCACTGTACGGTATGCAGTTTAGTATGTGCCTGTTTGTTTTGCTGTTACCTGTTTAAGGCATTGCACATCTCTATGGTAACCAGGACAGACAGGGCCATGGTCATGGGATAAGGAGACTCAAAGACTGAACACTGCACGCCGGCGAACTCAACGTGGCCTTCGCTGCACTGCAGGTAGTGGGACTGCGGAAGAAACAAATGTGTAAAACATGTAACATTCTTACCCCTTTATACTCGCCTCTCCCAATAGACCTTTTTCACAGCAGCCATTTTGACATGAAACAGTAGGCTAACGACACAGGTCATTAACCATGACACTAATGAAGATCCCATTCCGTTTAGTGTAGCAGAGCCTTTCCAGTGAGCCAATATGCAAAATAGCAGCACCCTGACTCTGTCTGACCTGAGTGGAACCTTCAGGTTCTTTGTATAAGAGATCATCTTACATCCTGTTGGCTATTCAACTCGTCACTTCAGTTACACACGGCCGATCATTTGTTCGTGAAAATCTTGATATTGATTTGGGGACAATGACATGGCTGGTTAGCTAGCTAGTCTTGTTGTTAAACATACTGTCAGATTATATTTACAGTTTGACTTTGAATCTTGCTAGCCTAACATTAGCTTTCTGGCTTGTAGCTGAGGCAAAGAGCCCTATGAGTGGAGGGAACTAGATATATCTCCTGTTGCTAAGTCGTATCTAAGGTTAGTCTTATTATTATTATAAAGTAGTAGAGTATATTGTAGTTGCATTGCATTAGAACTTATGGGGATAGTAATGATTTTTTCAGCTATTAGACAAACCCTCAGGTGTTACCAGATAAGTTTTCCTGAAATGTTTTGTTACTTCATATACAATCCTGTCTGTATTATTAATTAAAAAAAAGTTTTTTAACAATCATGCTTGGCCATTATTCTATTAGCTGTTTGGTTGTTTTAACTTTTCTAATGCAGGACGAGGCTGTTTATCAGAGTGTGAAGGCTCTTTAAATATAGCTTGTGTTCAGGTCTTCACTGTCCCCTTATGTTTTTAAAGTTTAGATATTAACTAACAGTCTAAAGGTCTGGGAATCCCTGTGAAGCTTTGGCGACCTCTAGTGTGGGTCAGGAGCCCTATATAGTCATATATAATGTAGAGTCACAGCATGAGATGCATGAAAAGAGGAGCGGTGATGGCAGATGTGTTTTTTACCAGCTGATAGAAGGAAAGTTTTGGTCCATCGTGGGCTGCCATGAACCACCAGGCAGCAGCTCCGACAGTGGCTGCTCCAACATAACCTGCAGAGAAGGTTTAGTTTGTAACCCACAGCTTCTGTCCAGCAGGATATCTCGTCTAACAGGCTCTGATAATGAATCAGTACTCTGGATCTCGATTTCATTCTGTGACTCACATCCAATGATGAGGTAGCGACAGAACAGCCAGCCGGAGATGAGTGGCTCTTTGGGGGAGCGGGGAGGGCGGGACATGATGTCCAAGTCTGGAGGGTTGAAGCCCAGAGCTGTTGCTGGGAAACCATCAGTGACCAGGTTGACCCACAGCAGCTGGACTGGGATCAGTGCTTCAGGCATGCCGAGCGCGGCCGTCAGGAAGATACTGAGGAGGAAACAGTGAGAGGCCCAAATCAACCATAAACTATATGTCTGTATCTATCATCTATAAAATGAGTGCACCACTTTCTTTAAGCTTTCTGACAAAGAGCCCCTTCACTAACCAGACCACCTCTCCTATGTTGGATGATATCAGGTATCTGATGAACTGTTTCATGTTGTTGTAAATGGCTCTGCCCTCCTCCACTGCAGCCACGATAGTGGAGAAGTTGTCATCAGCCAGGATCATCTCAGAGGCGGATTTTGCCACTGCCGTGCCGCTGCCCATAGCAATGCCGATCTCTGCCTTCTTCAACGCCGGCGCGTCATTCACCCCGTCACCTGTCTGAGAGGGAGGGTGGAGGAGGATAGTTTAGTGACAGAAAGCAGTGCTCTTACACTGGTTCTCAACGCACATAGGTCCTCACCATGGCAGTGATTTCACTCAGGCTCTGCAGGTACTCCACTATACGACTCTTGTGTGCTGGTTCCACCCGGGCGAAGCAGCGCACCGTCCTGCAGGCTTGACGCTGAAGGTGTGGGGGCAGCTCATCAAACTCTCTTCCCGTCAGGCCTCCATTGATGCCGGCACCCTCCTGCTCCTCTTCCTGCTCCGTGATGATGCCAACCCTCCGGCAAATAGACAGGGCCGTCCCTTTGTTGTCACCTGGAGAGAAGAACTGTTAGATTGAAGCTAAAGAAAAAGACTAGGCTTTCTGACAAATATTCCAAACTAACCCCATAATTTAGCTTATTTCACAGATTCAAGACATCACATTTTCTGTAGTCTTATAAGACAAAACTGATGCATTTCCAACTAAAACAAGACATTGGGTGACAACAAATGGGCCCCAACCAAAGAAAACATCTTGGTATCAGTATTTTATAGAATTGCAAGCTACTGAGCAGCCCTGACACACCGTTTCAAAATGAATGGGAAGAGGGGTTAAAAGACAGGGCTCAGATATGCCATTTCTAAACTGATCTAACAACCAATACGATTTAGCCTCTGTTGTTTTCAGTGAGCTTGGCATTTTGTTGTGTTTTTGTAACTTTAGAATGAGCCGTTTTCGATAAAGAAAAAATAAAACCATTAATGAGGCAAAATAAATTGACAAACTAGACTACAGTATACATTATTGAGTTTTACTAAATCTACAGTTTTCAGTTTTCACAGCAACACAAGGCGTACTACTGCCACCTATGTACACTTCCTATTTAGTTCACAAAACACAGGCCTTGAGTTAAATTCATACTAAATAATTGCAATTTAAATCAACATCTTTGGTAAAAGTTTCATATTTTTCCACTAATCCTTAATACATACAATTATCTGCTGTATTTATGAAATGACTGTGTGTGTATGTGTATTAAAAGGTATATTTCTGTTGTGCGTGTGCTAGCTCACCTGTAATCATGATGACTCTTATGCCAGCCTGCCGGCACATTCGGACCGCGCTAAGAACTTCTTTTCTGGGGGGGTCCAACATGCCCACACAGCCAACGAAGGTCAGGTCCGACTGGGGAGGGGGAAGAGAGCAAGGGAAGGACTACTTTAGCTTTCTTCAACCAACAGTTAATTTCATACAGAGCTGGAGCACACTGTCTAGACTATGTGTCCTATTTAAGAACATGTCATCACCACCACCATCTCTATCATCATCATCATCCTTACCTCATAGTTAGCAAAGGTGGCTGAGTTCTCCAGGCTAAGGCTGTGAATGTCAGGGGGCGTGTCCCTGGTCGCCATGGCGAGACAACGGAGCGTGTCTCGGCCCGAACCCCACTCCCGCACGGTGGACAGGAGCTGCTCTCGCACTGCAGGGCTCAAAGGCACGCGGGCAGAACCACTGACCCGGACGTAATTACAGCGCTCCAACACACTCTCTGGAGCTCCCTGAGGATAGAAATAGTGTCTCTTTATGGCCACTGTGTAACCAGATTGTATCACAGCCAGCAGTGGGTCACTCACCTTTACAAACATCTTGGCTCCAGAGGCAGACCTGGTGAGTTTATTGGACGAGCAGAAGACAGACATGGACTTTCTGTCTCTGGAGAACTCCAGCGTCAGCTCCTTCCTCATCAGCTGCTTAATCACCTGAAAACAACGGCAAATACAGTTCATATTAAAGCTACAGTAGGTAACTTTTCTAAAAATGACTTTTTGTCATATACGAGAAAGACAGTTGAGTCTGACGCTGGGAATGACACTCAACAATCAACTATCTATCAGCTCTGATTGGTTGTTTTCATTCAGGCTCGGTGGATTCTTGCAACAAATACGACAAAAAGTTATTTTGTGAAACAAGCCTTCTTGGGTCATTACTCAGTACTTAATGGTCTCACAGGTAACGAGAGATGTAAGAGAGAAGAGGAAGCATGAAAATGGTTTGAGTTAGTCCTGCATAATGGATGCAGAGGTCAGGGGGAGCGATCAGTGAGTCAGTTGCAACACTGCTGTCTTTTCCTTTACTTATCTCTCACACACTTACGGAGCAACAGGCTGTAGCTCTCTCAGCAGGGCTCAGTCCTCTCAGGTCGGTGTCGAACACGTTTATTTTCTCCACCAGACAGCAGAGGGCAGTCTCTGTGGCCTCCCCAACTTTCTCATACACTCCCTTTGCCTGGAACAAACACACACACACAAACGTACAGATAAAGCATGTTTACTTAGGTCACTTTTAGGTACATTACATAGACCTAAACTAATTTTCTGGAAATTTACCCTAACCTTAACCTCTACTCGCCTAACCCCTTACCCTAACCCTCCCCCATACAGTTAAAGTCAAAAGTTTAACTGTTTTAATCACATATGTCTTGCGCTATACGTCACCCATACGAAAGTATCTGGTCAAAGAATGACAGAAAGAGTAATTTTTTTTTATTATTTTCAGGTATTTTGATGACTTGTTTTAGATAATTTCCAGGGTTTTCTCTTGACAAGACAGAACAGGACTTGCTCACAACGGAGGTCAGCATTTATGGGACGTTCCGTGTATGGCTGATCTCACCACAGTGGATTTTCCCTGTTTCCAAATAGACCTTTTTCAAAGCAGTCATTTTGACATGAAATAGAAGAGCAAACACAGGTGTTACCAATGATACTAATTAATTTCATAATTACGGTTCTGTTCCACTTAGTTTAGCAGTCCAGTGAGCAAACATGCCCCCTGATTCTGTTTGACCTGAATGGAACAGAACCTTAATTAGTATCCTTGAGAAATGTCTATTGACTGCACCTTTCCTCTAACAGTAACATTAATTTGGCCACAGGCTAAAATACAATTAAAGGTTTCGAGGAAAACAGAGATGATTTCCAGGAAATATGGTAATTTTAGTCAATTTCCATAACTGGAAAAGTAGTTTCTAAATTTCCAGCTTTTTCAGATTTTCCAAGATGAGTGGGACTCATACTACACTAATAAATGTGTTGCTTGTGATGCCAGTGTTTCTGAGGGCTGATGTGTTACATACATCTATGGCCAGGCCTCACTCATTACTGTACAGAAGCCCATAACTTTATCCACTGATTTTAGTGATCATATTTTATGGAGAAAATTGTTTTTGGTTTTCCCTTTATTGGCTACTGTAAACACCAAACAATATCCAAGACAAGTCCCTCCCTAGCTGCCGGATCTTACAGGAAACACGTAAACATTAGTGAACAGCACTCTGCTTATCATTTCATGTGGACTTTATTTAGGGTCAAAAGCTGTGTCCCCAATCAACTGGTCTTTAGTCTGAAATGTTTCCCTGAAGCTAAGTCAGACCCACACAAACAGAAGGAACAGAGGTTAAAGTATGCTGTACTGTGTTGTACTTGCGGTAACAAATATTCAGAATAAGATTCCAGTTGTAAATGTGCCAGAACCATATACGGTAATCTATGATGGTCAGGGCAGTCTTACCTCATTGTAGTCTAGTGATGAGTCATTGCACAGTGCACAGATGGACGCCATCTCCACCAGGCCTTCATACTGGCTGCACTTTACCACCGAGCCATCCTTATAACTGGAAAGACGGAAGGGACAGGCCATGACGGAGAAAATAGGATTAAAAGGTGAAAAAACATGCAGGTTCTGGTAATCCATATCCATCCATAATCCATGAAGTGCCACGGGTTAAGTGTTAAAGGTTAAAGACACTCACACTTCCCCTTCAGGGGCGTAAGTAGATCCAGTCACTGTGAACTCGCTCAGCCTGCAGCGCTCCCCCGACACACTATCTACAACAAACATCTGAACACACACACATGCACACATGCACACAGGCACACAGGCACACAGACACACAGACAGACATCGCAGTAGTTGATTAGTTCAGTAATGTTAAGATGTCAGTCCTCCTGAGCTTTAAAGCCAACACCACACTGAGGGCAACGTTCTTTTTCCCAATGCAGATTTAGGGAAGGGAGAATAGGGAAAAATCTGAAATAAGAGCCTGTTTTTTAAGTAGCCAGTCGTGGCCAGGAAAAAAAGAGCAGTTAATATACATTTTCCAGAACACTATGATAAACAGCATCGTCCTGCGTCAGGGAGAAGAAAACACTGAATTTGCCAAAAAACAAGCATATTAAAATAAGTATGTGTGATTGTTAAGAATTGTTTAAATACATAATACAGGCAGGGCAGAGAATTGTATAAAAAGTTCCTAAAATATCAGGAAAACTCATCTGTGATGTAAAATTCCTAAGAAATGATCTGCTCAAAATGAATGGAATCTCTGGAACTTCCTGCAGTTATTGTGTTCACTGTTTGGGTTCATGTAAAGTTTATCAGCGGATCTCTACTGTTATTTTCATACAATGTATATAATATGAAATAAACATAAAATGTGTCACTCAGTTTACTCAATGATAGGAAAGAAAAAAATATCTAGATGGATAAATTGTACTACAGGTAAGAGGAAAAATATGTTTTTTTGGATTTTGGGGTGAATTATCCCTTTAAGCTACAGTGAATTCGACTCCAGCTACTTTTTCATGGTAGAAGTATTCCAGCCCTCCTGTTATTGGTAGGCTTTTATTGCAAAAAATCTGTTAATTGTTAATTGTGTTTGAACCTAAGGCTATTATTTGAGACTTGGCCATTACTTGAATACTGGCTTTTATGTGAGAATTTTACAGTACATCTATTAGAGATATTTCGAGTCTTAGAGCCCATGTACACCTGGTATCAACATGGGTCTTGGGTGATCCGATCACAA